TATATATATCACTGTTAAAATTTATATAATTATAATATACTGAACTCTAGCTTGGTAACTTTTGCTTCACGCGGGGGAGGGGGGTTCAATCCCTGCCTTGTGCATATTTATTTCCTTTTTTGCTGGGCCGCTGGTCGGGCTGGAAAGCCATTGGGCGGGCTGCTGAGCCCATGTTGCTTGGCGGGTAGGGGTGTAAACGAGGCCTACTCGCGTTCCGCTCTTTTATATTTCGAGCTCAGAAAGTGTGTTCATATTCGGCTCGTTTGCTTAGCAAGCCAAATACGAGTTGTTCACGAAGAAAGAGTCATTTTGATAACCCTAATCACGTAGCCATATGATTTTAAAAATTGAGTCAAGATTTAAAACATCATTTGAATCTAATTTAATAATTTTTATTATATTATCTTGAATAATACTTTTAATTTATTATAAATCTTTGTAGTCTTGTAGCCAATTAAAATTTTTAAAAACACTATTCATCAAAGATTATATATATATATATAATTGATTAGCAGTATTTCGCGCTAAAACGAGTCGAACACGAACGAACAAATATTTGTTCGCGTTGTTCGTGTTCGGCTCTTTAATTTAGTGAACGAGCCGAACATGAGTTGTTTGCGAAGAACGAGTCATTTTGACGGCCCTCTATTTGCGGGTAAGCGACCCGTGTTGTACTTTGACAGGCCCGGGCTGGAGACAAAACAACAACTTTCGAACCGGTGGGCTCTGTGGGAGCTGGACCGGCACACAAATTTGGACCGCAGGGGTAAATGAACCAGCAGAATTTGGACTTGCGCAAGACATTCAGACCGCGGGCCACGGGAGCTGGACCGGCTACCGAATATGGACCATAATTTTAGCGAATTTAAGCAGATTTTGGTTGGTATTTGAGTAGATTGGAAGCTCAATGGTGGAATTTGAACACATTTTTTCTTTTAATTCCTCCCCCACCCCCCGCTCGTACTTTTAATTAGAGAAATTCAAAAAGGCTAAAATGTGGGATATGAATAGAATTTCAGTTTTCTTTATTTCTTTTTTAACGATTGCCTTTAATGCTATACCTTCTCTTTCATGAATGAGAGGAAGAATCACAAGTGGGAAGGTGAATGAGAACGAAAAAAAGGAGAGTGGAGGGGGAACTCTTTTGCTAGCGAGATTTTCAGAAAAAGAAAGTTGTCCAAATTCTGCGTAGTAAGCGAGCAATGAGTTCTTTTTTCGTGTTGTGGTCCAGAGAACAGTAGTCTTTGTTCTGCGTAGTAGGCGAGTAACTAGATCTTTCGTGTTGCGGCCAAGAGGAAATTCGTCTTTGTCCTATGTAGTAGGCAAGCAACGAGATTTTCTTTCGTGTTGTGGCGAAGAGGAGAGTCGTCCATGTCCTACGCAGCATGCGGACCAAGATGAAAGTTGTCATCATCATGTGTAGCAGGTGATGAATGAGATCTTCTTTTGTGTTGTAATAAAGGGAAAGTCGTCACCGTTTTACGCAACAAGCGAGCAACAGACTCTTCTTTCACATTGTGGAAATGACGACAATCGGAGAATCTCGTTTTGCTGAAAACCAGAGGAAGGGCCATAACTCGGAGGATGCGATGTCAATTCTAACGGAGAGCGGCTTGATTTTGTTTCGAAAGAAGTGGGGGTGAAATTGTCGACTTCAGCGAACCGAGGGTATTTACCTTTCCCTAGGTATATTACTGTTCATGAGGCAGCCTTGTGAGCTGATCGACGATTTCTGTCGGCACCTGAGTTTATCGAAATCGTGATGGCGTTCGGAATTTGTGTTGCTTAATTATCTTGCAGGGTGATGACGGTCATTATCGGGTTGATTGTTTTTTTAGTTGTCGCAGGTTAACGTTAACACCGACAATTTTAGGAAGGGTATGCAGGTTTTTAGGTGATACACATGATCATGTGATGTTTAAGCTCAAAAAGTTGGATTTTCGCCTGAAGAAACCGATAAGACAATGATCCGTGAGATTCTTTTTTGCGAAGAATGATTGGAGTCTCTGTAAGAGACAATGAGTGTTCCAACAGTTATTTGTCTCTCTTCAGACTACTGAGATTGGAAATACTGCAGATGCTATGATTTCATGACTTCAAGGAGATGTTCGAAATGCAATATATATTTGTTGGAGTCGGTATCAAATATTGCAACAAGATTTTAGATCATCATCATCATCTCCACCCTTGAATTCATGAAAGATTGATTATATCATGATTGACATTTTTGTGGAGAAATTTAACAGGTCGAACTTATTTTGTTGCTCGTTATATTTGATTTTGTGCGAGCTTGGCTCAAAATTGATTTGAGTTTGATTTGGCTTGAAATCGAAACGAGTTGACTCAAATTGAGTTATTTGGATTTGTTCCAGCTCAAAATCGGCTCTTTTTGGCTCAAGATCGAAACGTGCTAGCTCAAATCGAATTATTTGGATCTATCCTAGCTCGAAATCAGATAGTTGTGTGTTATATTCAATTTTATTTAGTATTATATACATAATTCTCATAACTAAAAAGAAAAATACTTCGAGTCGATTCATGTATTGCTCAAAATTAGCTTAAAAAAATTGGTCGAAAATTTAAGTCCTCGCAAATTCAAATCAATTTTTGAGCTATTAACAATCTGCGAGTTAAATTCACAGCCACACCCATACTGAATTAAAGCGAACGCAAAAAGAGAAATTAATTTAAATTTCCTCTCAAATCCTTGTGTACGTGTTGATATTTGCATGTTTGTTGACCATTCTAATAATTAATTAGCACAATACACAATTAGCGAGCACAATTTAAAAGTCAAGCTAATCTTATATCATAACCTACCTATTCATAATGAAATTTTCTTAATGTAATCTTTATAATGTATTTTAAAACATGAAAATTGAAATTATATTTTACTATTATTTGTTTTTAATTAAGTAGTTTTATTTATAAATTTCGATAAAAACATACCCTAAAAATGTTAATATGAAAAGAAAATGTTCATTTATTTATTAATATAATTGGTTGTTTATTATTATTATTATTATTATTATTATTTGTATATACTTGGTCGTTATTCAAGATATAGGTTGCTATAAGCTTGATAAAATGTTCAATGATGTTATAATTACTTTATAGATAATTTATTCAATGTTTTTAAATAATTTTTTTTTATGTCCTATGTGCTTTGAAAGTTTATTTATTTTATAGGAGATATTAATATTTATTTATTTTTAAATATTTATTATTCTTAATGCAATGTGTAAATCTCAAATAATTCTCTTTTCAATCTCATATTCTATTGTAATTAAGCTATTATGCTGAATTTATGCAGATTTTAATCGCATTGTCTTAAGATTTAATTAAACCTAGCCAAAAGTAAAAGTGTAAATCACTCTTATTTTTATATTTCAAAATAGAATTTTTGCAGCTAAAAACTATTAATTTAAGTATTAATTAAGCTAATTTAATCAATGATTGAAGGTCAGCCTTTCATTTACTTAATTATGTCTGGTGATTAATCTCTGAATTATCAGTCTTCCCCTGAATGCACATTATCGGATTATTCTTAGATTATTCATAAAGTTTTTATTCACTTTTTAATTTTATTATTATTCTTTTTAATAATTAAAATGGCCCTTGGATTAATCAAATATTAAAAAATCATTATCTTGTGAGTTAAATTTAATAATATTTATTTTGCATATGATTACGAAAAAAGAAGTATAATGTCATATTTTAAGATAGCCTCAAAATAAATTTAGAAATTTTAAATTTCTGAAAAAAAAAACAAATCTTTCCCAAGAAAAGGGAACCATTTAAATTTCTGAAAAAAAAAAAAACAAATCTTTCCCAAGAAAAGGGAACCTGAATGCTGAGTGCTGGCAACGGCATTCCCTGGAAACAACAACCAAGCATTCCAACGAAAAAAAGGAAGCTCTTTTTTGAACTACCTCGTCACGAGACATCCTTGAATCCCTCTCTACTTCCACCCTTCCTCTCTCTCTCTCTCTCTCTTCCCCATTAGTGAATCAAGCAAGAGCTCAGAACCTCTCTTTCTTTCTCTCTCTTTCTCTATCTCTCTCTTTCTCTAATCTTTTCTCTAATTAGCCCATCTTCCCTTTTTATGAATGGATAACCTCTTCATTCACTGCTTCTTCCATCATGAAGCAGGAGTACTTCCCACCACTAAACTTTTCTCTCAATCGATGCATCTGTTAATGAACAGAACAAATCTTCATCTTCTTCTTCTTTCATCCTGACCAACTTTCTCCTCAATCTTCTCATATCCACTTATGTATTCAAATCTCCATTTTTGGATAAAAAACATGCTGACAGACGATTTTGCTATAATCTCCAACTCTTCGAGAGGAGTCTTGTCTTCTCCTTCAGCCACGCCTATATAACTTCCCAAATCCTTGATAAAGATGAGATCTTGCTTCGGGGCTTTATGGCTGGGAAAGAAAGGAAGGGCTGGTGGCTGTATATCCCTACCGCCGCCGCTCGATCCTGCTTCACTTCCCTCTTCTTCTTCTCCTTCATCTTCCACATTTCCAAAGAGGAGACCTCCGGCTTCGGAGGCGGATATAATGGAGAGGAAGAGGTGGGATAGTTTGGAGTCATGGTCGATGTTGCTGGAAGCTGGGAATGCGGAGAGCTCGGAGGGAAATGATGGGGGGGAAAGAGAGGAATGGATGGCGGATCTCTCTCAACTTTTTATAGGGAATAAGTTTGCTTCTGGTTCACACAGTAGGATTTACAGAGGGATTTATAAGCAGAGGGCAGTGGCTGTGAAGATGGTGAAGATACTCGATCAGGATGCTGAGAAACGTGAGAGTCTGGAGAAGCAGTTCAAGTCTGAGGTTGCTTTCCTTTCTCGCCTCTATCATCCAAACATAGTTCAGGTTTGTTTTACTTAAAACTTTCTTTTATTAGATACAAATTGAATGTTTTATATATGCTTCTGTGTTCTTTAATAGAACTTCATTTCTACAGCCAAATGTTAGAAACTTAGAGTAGTGTACATGGCATGTTGAGGAAACTAAATTGCAAAATAATTATTGCGGTTGTGAAGGTTATTGTTGAGAAATTTCTAAGATCTTTTGATTGTCCATTGTTGTAGTGCTTAATTGATTAACTCAATTTCTATTGTTAATCATTTATTTTTGAGCTTTGAGAGAATCATTATCTGTGAACGATGGTAACTTTGTCAACAATAATTTGGGCCTCAACATGACGGATAACTTCTACAGAAATGTTATTGCCCCTTCCATTAAGGTTGTGTAATAGCATTCATGATGAATTCCTTGCATGAAGATCACATTTTGAAGTTTCGAATCAACTCTTGGGATTGATGAACCATGTTCAAGAAAATTTGAAAGTACTCTTTGAGTGATTTTTGTTCATTTCAAAAAAAAAAAAATTTAGAGCGATGGAAATAGTTCTACGTGATTAAATATTTCGAAGAGTTGAACCAAGGCAAACATTGATAAAAGGGAAAATAACCATATTTGAGTCTTACTTCTTGAGCATATTTAGGAGCATGCTTGTAAGGATTAATAAAAAAAATATAGGGGGTGTGATTGTGGGCTACATAAAGCCTAAGGTTTAAGTCGGATTAGAACAACATAAAATGAAAATATTTCTTACAAATGTTGTTGGGAGGGAGGTTTGGCCATTTCCATCTGGGAAATTTTTTTTGTACAAGGCATCATAGCTTTTCTTACAAAAGTTAATTTGTAGGATGGATATAGATCCATTACTCTTGATCGAGGATTGGGAGTTGTTGGCTCTTAGAAGGTGGGTTAGTCAAATGTTTGGAGTGACATATTTGTCATGGTGACTCTTCTGGCGGGGTTTTCGCATCTTACGGAGCTCATCTGATCTCAGTTTTTCTTTCTGAGTAAATTAGTACTACATCAATCCTAAATGACTCCAAAATTTGTGACCCCAACAAGCATAATACATAAATCATCTCTCTTTACAATATGCACAAAGACATGTTGTCATGAAAAACTTACATTTGCGAAGCTTTCTTCTGAATCATATGTGGGCACTTACAGACACTCCACCCAGTTTCTTTGTATTTACATATCTAACCACAAAATTTTACTCTTTGCATTAATATCACCAGAATATTTCATATCACATCACAAATACCATCATTTTAACTTTTAGGAAAGTGAAATAATTCTTTTCATGCATAGGCAAGATGATATGTATGTAAAAACTAAACATTAGGTGATAGACATAAATACATAGGAACATAGTGGTATGTGTGTAAAATCTCATATTTCATATACTAAGAACAAATTCTAATGCTGCCACTTTAACTCACCATTAAAATTTTGCTGTAAAACAACTAAATACCACAATATATTAACCATTAGAAATCGGCCGGCTCCATTTTTCAGTTCATTGCAGCATCCAGAAAGCCTCCAATGTACTGCATCATCACAGAATACATGTCCCAAGGTACTCTTAGAATGTATCTTCACAAGAAAGAGCCATACTCACTATCTACAGAAACAATCCTTCGTTTAGCTCTAGACATTTCTCGCGGAATGGAATATCTTCATTCACAAGGTGTGATCCACAGGGACTTAAAGTCTCATAATTTGCTGCTTAATGATGAAATGAGGGTCAAAGTTGCAGACTTTGGGACTTCGTGCCTTGAAACCCAGCTAAGAGAATCGAAAGGTAACATGGGAACTTATCGATGGATGGCGCCGGAGATGATTAAGGAGAAGCCATATACTAGAAAGGTTGATGTTTACAGTTTTGGAATTGTGTTGTGGGAGCTTACGACAGCTCTTGTTCCGTTCCAAGGGATGACTCCTGTGCAGGTTGCTTATGGTGCTGCAGAGAAGGTATTTTTGCTTCATTATATATATATATTTTTGGGGCATTTACATACATACCACACAACTCTTATGTATTTACCTATCTAACACCTAAACATTTATATTTATATGCATACCACTCAAAGCATTAATACCACATAAAAAATAACTCTATCGCTACCTTTTTAAAAGTGAAATTCACCATTTCATGCACAGGTTTATGACAACAAGTTGTGATAAATGTAAATATCAAACTTTGGATGTTACTTATGCATATACAAAATAATTGTGTGGGTAAATTTCCCATTTTTTTATTTTGTTTCTTATTATACAAATTTATGAATTATATGATTAAGAGTTTGAAGTCATTGCTACTTTAGTATTTATTTTTAGTCAGTGAAATAAAGGCACCCTTTTGCTTACTTCGATCAGTCACTAGGGCCTTTTCATATTAGTTTTGAGATTTAAATTTTGTTATTTCAAAGTTACTTTTTAGTTAGAATTGCACATTTCTATTATTCATCTTCTACTATTTTTTTTTCATTTTTTATTTGGTTTGTTTATGCATGTTTTTGAATTATGCAATATGGTATTAGTTTATGTTTTTCTACCATTTATCTCATTCAATATGTTTTACTTCTTCATATATGCATATATATTTTAAAAAAAATGGCCAGAGGCTATTATACTAGTCTTCAACCACCCCTAATATGCATAACGATTCAAGTACCACCTCCTTAAGGCCAACTGTGCCAGAGGGAATTCAAACCCGCGACTTGAGGGGTCTTACAGTTTCTATTCAGTGCAGAATTTGTATGAGTTTCTTTTGTTTATCTTTGAAGTTTTATTCTGAATATGTTCCAAATTTGACTCCTATGAATCTTACAAGAAAGTCCTCATCCAAATTACATTTATGACATTGTTTTTATAATTACAAACTGATGCAAAAAAGTTAAAATTTATTACTTATTATCTTAAAATATGTTGTTATTACCATCTTAATAATGTTCTTCACCACCATAAAACTAAAATGCCCCCCCATCTTTTCCAGCATAATGCAAACATAACCATTTTTTTCATTTTCTTACTGTTTTCTGTATCAACTTTAGATTCTATCCTTTCAGACAACACCTAAAATTACATATTTAAATTTTTTTTCAGAATCTGAGACCTCCCTTATCAACAACTTGTTCTCCCGTTCTTAACAATCTGATTAAGAATTGTTGGTCAGCAAATCCAGCTAAAAGACCAGATTTCAGCTATATTGTTTCAGTTTTGGAGGAGTATGATACTTGCCTTAAAGAAGGACTTCCGATGTCAGTAAATCAGGAGCTGAAGATTAGGAATTCTCTCTTAGGATTGCTCAAAGGCTTCAAGAGATGCATTCCAGCAAGTCCATCAGTGCCTGTTCTTGCTTGATTGAAAATTTTATAGCTCATATTATTGTTTATATATTTGTATTATTTCATCAGTTTATTGTATATGTAAAGGTCTTGTGATTTTGAAGTTATGATATTCTTAATAAAGGATCATTGCTAATGAGTTGTTGCCGCTGCTACTTGAATTCATTTATCAGATGGTATAGTTATACATATATCTGTGTGTGCGTGTGTGCGTGTGTGCGTGTGTGCGTGTGTGCGTGCATTGTTAGCAACTATAGAAAAAATAAAGATAAAAGACATTGCTATTAGTCCCTCTCTTTGTATGAACCTCAACACACCTAGAAACAATGATATCATAGAGTAAAGGGAGCAATATTATGGTTTAAGATCTAATATGCTCAAAATTTAATATGCTCAAAATTTCTTCACCCTTAGAACCATTCACCAACTTCATGCGACACAATATCTTCTAACATATTTTACATAATCTAAAAGAAGTCATGCTATGATTGCTATACATTGTCCAATATAACCCATTTGAAACTTACACTGAAATATTTAGCATGTTGAGTTTTTTAACTTAACACTAAAAGAAGTCGCGCGCGTGCACACACACAAATTATGTATGTATGTATATATACATAATACATAATGAAGTTCGACACAAATCCAGAAGGACACAGAGATCGACACAAATCCAGAAGGACACAGAGAGATTTAACGAGGTTCGACAAAGATGCCTACGTCCTCGGGAGCAGAGCGGCAAGTACAGAATTCAGGGATAATCCCTAGGGTTACATACAAGCCTAATTTATAACCCTAAAAAACACATAAAAATGAAACTTTGGGTACAATATGTAATTACCAAATTACCCCTGTACCACACCACCAACCCACATAAGGAAACTTCCCTGATTTGGACAGAACTTCTGCTCTGCTCCGCTCCTGATTTAGCACTGTCCATTTATGGTATATGAGCCATATCTAGCAAATCTCTACCTTGGCGAATATCCAGCCCCTTAGGAGAAATACGTCATGGAGTTTTCTTCATATCAGAAGTGGGTTGGGCCACCATGCTCTCTAGCAACTGCAGACATTCAACAAGTCCAACAATGCAAGAACTTGTTGATGGTAACTTGCTTGGTCAACATATCAGTTGCATTCTCATCAGTATGAACTTTCTGCAATAGTATCTCCCCAGAATCAATCAATTCTCTGCAGTATAACATCAATGTGCTTGATTCTTGCATGGTACACTTGGTTCTTAGCTAGATAAATATCACTCTGAATGTCAAAATGCAACTGAACTCCACCTTGCTCAACACCCAGGTCCCTTACTAGCCCAGTAAGCCATAAGGCTTCTTTAGCAGCTTCAGCTACTGCCATGTACTCAGCTTCAGTTGTAGATAGTGTCACAATAGACTGAATTGTTGATTTCCAACATATATGCCCTCCACCAAGAGTAAACACATACCCAGTTGTAGACCTTCTGCCATCCAAATCACCAGCATATTCTGAATCAACATACCCCACAACTGAAGGATCATTCTGCTAACTGCCAAAAATAATTCCATGTCTTACAGTACCTTTCAGATACCTGAAAATCCACTTGACTGCTTCCCAATGTCGCCTTCCAGGTTTAGTCTTGTATTTACTAATAACATGACCCAAATCAGGACGAGTACATACCATTGCATACATTAAGCAGCAACTGCACTGACATATGGAACCTTTGTCATGTCTTCCATTTTTGTATTTGTCTTAGGACACTGTTATGAAGAAAGCTTAAAATGATTTGCCAAAGGAGTGCTCACAGGCTTTGCTTTGCTGATCTCAAACCTTTCCAGCACTTTCTCAACATAACCTCGTTGAGATAAACATAATCGTCTTGAGCCTCTGTCTCGATGAATGTCCATTCCAAGAATCTTCTTTGTAGGACCCAAGTCTTTCATGTCAAATTCCTGGCTCAATAAAGCTTTCAAACCACGGACATCATTCATATTCTTTGCAGCAATCAATATATCATCAACATACAGTAACAGGAAAACGAAAAATAATAGAACCATCATCAAAGCTCTTTACATAAACACAACAATCATACTCACATCGCCTGTAGCCAATATGAATCATGTAGGAGACAAACCGTTTGTACCATTGTCTTGGAGACTGTTTCAACCTATACCGCGATTTCTTTAACCTGCAAACCAGATGCTCCTGTCCAGGTTGAGTGAACCCTTGTGGCTGAGGCATGTAAATCTGCTCCTCCACAAGAAAGTAGTTTTAACATCCATCTGCTCCAAATGCAAATCCCAAATAGCTACCAATGTCAGCACTGCCCTGATTGAAGTATGTCTGATCACAGGAGAAACTATTTCATCATAATTTATCCCCTTCTGCTGTGAAAATCCATTTGTTACCAGTCGAGCCTTAAGCTTTTCCCATTCTTTTTCTGATACTGCTAGTTTCCTTTTGTAGACTTATTTGCACCCAATAGCCTTCTTTCCCTCTGGAAGCTGAACTAACTCCCAAGTGCAGTTTCTCTGCGAAGACTCCATCTCCTCAACCATTGCACCCATCCATTTCTCTTTCTCCTGGCTAGTGATAGCTCCTTGAAAAGTGGTTGGATCATCGCTGTTGATGAGAAGTGCACATGAGACTAAGCCTTCATAACTCAATCTGCTAGGTGGCCTTACATTGGTGTGTATTTGTCTATCTCTGACTAGATAATAATTCTGCAGATCATCTGTAATAGAATCACCAGGCGTTGGATTTGAACACCTCAAAAGCTATATTATAATTCTATCTCAGAAGCTACTAGCTGTTGTTCTAAATTCATCTGCACTGCATCTGAACTGGAACTCTTCTCTGACACCTTGTCTTGATTCTGCTGTAACATAAACTGCTCATCAAAACCTGCATCTCTGTTGATCATAATATTCTTTGCAATCAGATCCCAAAACTTGTATCCTTTCACACCTTTCTTGTAGCCCAGAAAGATGCACTGCTTGGATTTTGTATCAAGTTTGAACATTTCATCTCCAGGTACATGCACATAAGCATGACAACTAAAAATTCGTAAATGATCGAATTTAACTGGATTGCCTGTCCATACCTCTTATGCGACCTTGCCACCCAATGATGCTCGAGACAATCTATTGATGAGATAGCATGCCATATTTACAGCCTCTGCCCATAAACTCTTAAAAAGCCATGCATTCAGTCTCAAGCATCTTGCCCTATCAGTTAAGGACATGTTCATCTTTTCTGCTATACCATTCTGCTGTGGTGTCTTACGCACTGAAAAATGTCTTTGAATCTCATGCTCTTCACAAAACTTCTGAAACTACGAAGCTGTGTACTCTGTGTAATTATCAGACCTCAAATACTTGATTTTTCTGCTAGTTTGGTTCTCTACCTCAGCTTTCCACAGCTTGAATTTAGAGAATACTTCATATTTCTGCTTAAATAATCACACCCAAACTTTCTTGGAGAAATCATCAATAAAGGTAATGAAATACTGAGATCCTCCCAATGACGTTGAAGCCTTCGCTAAAATACTACTGCCGCCGTGATTCACCTCCCCGAGGCTTGCTCTTCCTACTCCGAACCGCCGAGATTGCTCTTCTGCCCTAGCCTAAAAATCCTCGGCCAAAATCTTCGCCGCCAAAAAATTTCTTTTATTTCTTTTGTGCCCTCGAATCTGTCTCTGATACCACTTGTTGCGAAATTAAGGGCGAAGAAAAATAGCAATCGACACAAATCCATAAGAACACAGAGATTTAGTTTTAACGAGGTTCGACAAAGATGCCTATATCATCGGGAGCAGAGTAGCGGCTTTTTACTAATTCAGAAAAAGTACAAAATTCAGAGATAATCCTTAAGGTTACATACAAGTCTAATTTATAACCCTAGAAAACACATAAAAATGAAACAATGGGTACAATATATAATTACCAAATTACCCTTGTACCACACCCCCAACCCACATAAGGAAACTCCCTTGATTTAGACAGAATCTTCCGCTCTGCTCCGCTCCTGATTTAGCACTGTCCATTTATGATATATGAGTCATATCTAACAATATATATATATATATATCAAAAAAATGGCCGGAGGCTATTATACGAGCCCCCAACCACCCTCATGTGTCTAACTATTCAAGGACCAACCTCACTATCGATAAACTGGCTAGAGGGAGATTCGAACCCGACCTTCAAAAGGTTACTCTATCAACAGGCCACGGCTGGCGTCACAAAAGCATATATATATATATATATGCTCACAGGCTTTGCTTTATAGAAGTTCTAAAATTGTTCACTTCTGATCAAATAAGACATCAGGACAATTTATTATCCCGAAGGACAAAAACACTACCTTACAATGGATCCAATTTTAAAGTGATTGTTTCATCACGTCATGGACCTACGAACAAATTTTTCCCCAGTCTGAAAGGGGCATGGTTTATTTTAAGTATGGACCTAGTATCCTTACAAGGGTAAGCTTTCGTAGTTAGTCATCCTGAGAGTCGTAAACCCTTGAAAAAATCTTGATCAACTCCTATGTATTTACATATCTAACACCCAAAAATCAAACTTTACATACATGCCCTCTTCACCTTTGTATGAAAAAGTGTACATCACATTTTGGAAGTTAAAATGGTGCCATTTTTTTATGAAAATTTGAATAATTGGGTGGTATAAATGTAAAAGTAATGAGTAGGTGTTAGATATATAGGAATTGGGTGCCATGAAAGTAAAGGGCCCCGCTTAAAAATCACTCTGCTGGAGCGGAGGAGAACAAGTTCTTTTTAACTGAGACAATTGAAACACCTCTTTTCCCCCCAATTAGCATTAACAATGCTATTAAACAAACTACAATTAGTAAAGCTTGAATGAGACAATTGAAGTTTGTTAGGCATGATGCATATACAGATGATGGAGCGGAGAAGAGCTCGTAAGCAGAGTGGAGTGCAGCGGAAACATATGTCCAATTTGGGGAGCATCGTTAAGTGGGTTGGGGGTGCAGGGGCAACGCCCTGCAATACTTTTTAGTAATTTTGTAATTGTACCAAGAGTTAGATATATAATATATATATTGTGTTTGTGACTCTAATAGGGAGAACTTTGCTTTGAGAAATCAAGAACCGCCGTTATTTGCTCCCGAAGACGTAGACGCATTGCCGAATCTTGTTAAATCCCTATGTTCTCTTCTTTCTTGTTTCCTTCATTTATGTTCTTGTGATTATTAGTGTGATTTCTCAACATATGCTATAGAATTTTGACGCTCTAAATTAAAATTTTAATTAATTGAATCATTTTTTTTATTGTACTCCTCATGTCTTCTCAAATGAGCTCAATTCCACCTAACCCCCATTAAATGAAGTTGAAATTTAGAAGATGATATTTTAACATTAAAACTTATGAACACATTGACAATGATGTACCATGTGACAAGAATATTTTTTCATAAAATATACCTTGAATGTTATGCTCCTTAAATAAACATTTTCTTAAAATAAAAATAAAGAGATTAAATCAAGTGGAACAATAAAAAAAACTTAAGGAGTACTAAGCATTAAAAAATTAAGAAAAAGAAATATATAAATAATTATTTGAGGAGTATAATTTTAATTAAAAAAAAACTAATAATGAAAATTAAAAAAAGTCAACAAGAATAAGTAAACAAGCTTTGTCTTTTCTATAACTTTCTTTGTGGTTGATGGTTTAAGCCTTGCCGGTTTGCATGATAAGGCTTTTATTTATTTGGCAAATGTCAAAAAATTCAAGACTATTTTGCCAAAGTTATAACTGCCAAAAATGGATTTTAGCTCACTAATATATATATATATATATA